ATTTCACAATGCTCTCTGTCTGACATCAAAGCGCTTCCCATCCCTTGACTCTGGTCAGAGTGGATTCACCTGAGGCTTCCTCTATGTGTGGAGCCTGCAAATAGAGTTTGAACTTCTACTGCCATCCACAGACTTTTGTAAACCAAGTTTTTACAATCATACCCTCCTTCAGATTTGGATGATATTATTGACAATTCTTGGATCACACAGGCTGGTGTGCTTCTTCCATGTGGACTTAGTTGGCTTCTTGGTTGAAGAAAAGCCTTTAAGATGATACTATTCTTTTGGATAGTTGGGCACCAGCTAGTCTCCTTACTACATTTTTCTATAGCACCCATATCTCCAGTGATCTCTTCATGAAATCAAACATCAAGCAGGGCCATGTAAAATGAACTAAGTGTTCTGAGATTGGAGCTAGAATTAAGTACAAGTTACCAATCCATTCATATATCTATGGCTACAAATGCTTTAAACCACTAAGTCACCAGGTTTCTTTACTGACTCTCTAAACCCAACCCCACTGTGAGTGAGTCAATTCCAACTCATGGTGACTCTACAGGATAGAATAGAACTAATCCATAGGCTTTCCGAGGCTGTACATTTTGATGGAAGCACAGGGCCTCATCTCTTTCCTACAGCATGGCCAGTGGGTTCAGATCTCTTACCTTTTGATTTGCAGCACAACATTCAGCCCACTCTGTCACCAGGGCTCCTTCACAGTCTCTATAGAGTTTCTTAAAGGAGCATTTAGTTTGTGGACCTCAAGTTCAACATGCTTCAGAATCACCTGGGAGACCTCTTGAAACACAGACACTCCCCACCCCCCCAAAAAAAAGAAATACAGACCCCTTCACCCCTACTACCAGGATCTCTAATTCAATAGGTTTGGGATGAGGTCTAAGAATGAGCATTTCTGACAATTTCTCAAATTATTCTGAATCCACTGATCTGGGATCAACCTACATTAGATGGCAGTCTCTTGTGGGATGAAGTCATCAGCGTATATACACTAGGAAGTGACTCTTTTTTAAAAGCCATCTCCCATTACTATATAGTGAAAGAAGCTTTCTTATGTCTTACATGTAGAGTCCTCCTTTCCCCTCTAGCAGTAGAAATTTGATCACATACCCGGTGACTAACCACAGTTCAGGAAATACTGACCATGGAACTCTAAACTGCTTGAATACTTGTTTTTGATCTTCCCAATGGGGTCCTATCATAACCTAATGATGAAGGCGAGAGGACTGTCTTGGGTTTCCTGGTATCCAATTGCTGAAAACTGACTGAACTGGAACCAGTCTTTGCACACTGCACAGCTGTTAGAGGGGCAAGGATGATGATTTGTAGATACACTAACACGCTGAAGGCAGGCGATTTCTATACTGTGATGGAGTTACAGTGATATACTACCCAGGCAAGTTGGCATGTCTTCAGCTATGATTTTGGACAAATCCAAGGTCATGGTTATATGTCCAAACTGTCACTTCTGTATATCAGTCT